CAGCGCAGCTTCTTGACCCAGGGATTGAACCCAAGTCTCCTGCCTTGGCAGGTGAATTCTTTACCACTGAGCCACCAGGGAAGCCCTGACACAATCAAAAACATTCCTTTATGAAAAAGAATCATTCGGGTCCCACTTCCTTTGTTGCATAAGATGTTGATGAGAATCATCCACAAGGCAGTGAGCAGCTGTGAGTGCTGTGTGGTATTCTGTTGGCTGAAACATCAATATTCAGGGATCCACTCGACTGCAGATGGACTCAGGTGCGAATTGTTTTCAGCTTGAGATTAATATATATGATAGACAGTACTGCTATGAACTATGAACATTCTTGTCCAGGCTCCCTGGCTCACTGGGCAAATGACATTTTTTTTTAATACTAAAATATACACAACATAAAATTTACATTTTAACCACTTTCAAGTGTACTGTTTAGTGGCATTAAGCACATTCACAACGTTGTGAAACCGCCACCACCACCCATCTCCAGAACTTATCCATCATCCCAAACAGAAATTCTGTACCTATTGAGCACCTATACTCAATACAGTATAAATCCACTGTACCTATTGAGCAGTAACTCCCATTCCCCAGTTCCCTGCCCCTCCCAGGCACCCTCCTACTTGGTGCCTCTATGAATTTGACTCCTCTAGGGACCTCATATAAGTGAAATTATACAACTTATGTCCTTTTCTGACTGCCTTATTTCACTCACTATAATGGCTTTCAATTTCATCCATGCTGTAGCATGGGTCAGAATTTCCTTTCTTTTTAAGGTAGAAATCCTTTTTCAAAAATAGTATTTAGTTTCTACACCAGGATTGAATGTTTTAAATGTTTTAACACAAAAAAACTTAAAAGGTATAAAGTAACTAAATATTTACAATACGATGTAAAGTAAAATTTCTCTATGAATATCATAAATATTTACTTTCAAATTCAAGTGTTTTAGATAGGAATATTAGTGTTAGTCCCTCAGTCATGTCCAACTCTTTGCAACCCCATGGACTAGAGCCTACTAGGCTCCTCTGTCCATGGAATTCTCCAGGCAACAATACTAGAATGGGTAGCCATTCTCTTTTCCAGGGTATCTTCCCCACCCAGGGATCCAACCTAGGTCTCCTGCATTGCAGGCAGACTGTTTACCATCTGAGCCACCAGGGAAGGCCCCAAAATGTAAACATTTAAATAAATGTTAAGGAAACTTTTAAGTAATTATTCAAAATTAAAATTTAAATAAAGATTAAAATCAAATGAAAAAGCATAATATAAAAAGTTAATGTTGTGAACAATGTTTAAATAAGTGTTTATGTAAAATTTAAATATTTAGGACTTCCGTGGTGGTGCTGTGAGTAAGAAATCGTCTCCCAACACGGGACACGGTTTGTTCCCTGGTACCGATGATCCCAATGCTAAAGGGCACCAGAGTCCCTTTACAAGTAGTGAGCCAGCGAGTAGCAACTATCGAAGCCCATGGACCTAGAAAGTAGCCAGGAGTTGCTTCCCCCTTGGCTCAGCGGGTAAAGAATCCTCCTACAATGCTAGGAGACGTAGAAGACACTGGTTCTATCCCTGGGTCAGGAAGATCCCCTGGGGGAGGAAATGGCAATCCACTCCAATATTCTTGCCTGGATTTTAAAAAAATTAAATATGTTGCATAGATTTAAAATATAAAATAATACATAGAATTTAAAATAAAAATATTTCAGTGTTTTAAATAAATATTTAAATGAGTTTAAATTTAAAACATTTAAATGTTAATATTTAAAATAAATGCTATTTTTAACATATAAAATTAAATTTTAAATATGAACAAAAAACTAAGAAAAAATTTAAATACGATTTTAATAAATTAACTGCTACAGGAAATTTTATAATTATACTTAAAGATGAGTAAAAAATAAGACTACCCCCCTCGACTCCCTGCGCGGAACTGAGGCAGCCAAGAAGCTCCTTGCCTCCTCCCGGCCCCCACCTCACGCGCAGGCAGCGCCTCGGCCAGCCCCGGCCTGCTCGCGAGGACCTCGCACGGCCAAGATGGCTGCGCCCATGCGGCAGACTCGCTGCCTGCTCGGGTGGGTGACGACTCTGGGCCCGGGCTCCCGCGGTTACCGAGCGCCGCCGCCTCCGCGCCGCTCACGGGACCCCTGGTGGCCCGACCCGGATGACCCATTGACCCCGCGCTGGCAGCTGGGGCCGCGCTACGCAGCTAAGCAGTTCGCGCGGCATGGCGCCGCCTCCGGGGTTGACCCCGGTTCTCTATGGCCGTCGCGGGAACAGCTGCTCGAGCTGGAGGCTGAGGAGCGAGAATGGTACCCGAGCCTGGCGGTCATGCAGGAATCGCTGCGGGTGCAGCAGCTGGCCGAAGAGCAGAAGCGACAAGCCAGGTGCCTGCGTGCGGTCGGGCGGGAGCGGGGCTGCGGGCCTGCGGGCCGGTGGTGAACTGTGCGTCAACAGTGCTTACTCCATTGGGCGGTTTATCGCGGGGTTTGCGTGCAGTATTTACGTGCACGCTCACCTAGATACAAAAAGACTTCTGGCTAAGTTCATTTAGTCATCCGTCAACAAATCTTTACCTAGCGCCTACTGTGCGCAAAGCCATGTCCCGGGTGCTGAGCGCATAGTGGGGAACAAAATGAATTTCAGATGGTGACCCAGAGTCATTAGGAAGATAAAATTGGGTGGAGCGTGCACGCCTGAGGGCGACTTCGCCTTGGCAGGCCTCAGGCTCCTCTGAGAACTTAACATTTAAAATGTTTAAGCAGAGACCTGTTGGGTTTCCCTTGTGGCTCAGCTGGTCAAGAATCCACCTGCAATGCAGGAGACCTAGGTTCGATCCCTGGGTTGGGAAGATCCCCTGGAGCAGGGAAAGGCTACCCACTCCTGTATTCTGGCCTGGAGAATTCTATGGACCGTATAGTCCATGGGGTCGCAAAGAGTCGGACATGACTGAGCAACTCAGAGAGATGAATGATCAGCGGTAGCCATGGAAAGATCTTAGGGAGAGTGTTCTTGGTAAAGGGAACAGCTGGTGCAAAGGCCCTGAGGTAGGTATGTGCTTTAAGAAACAGCCTGGGCATTAGTGTGGCTGGGGAGGTGTGAGAGGGGATGGAGCATGGGATCAAGGGTACAGATCGGACTTGGGAGGCAGGTTTGAAGGATTTAGAGGGAAGAAGAATGGAAGCAAGAGCGAAGATATTGATTGTGTCACTTACTGAAGAGAGGGGGCAGCCAAAGTCAGGCAAGTGTGTTCCTGGTGTTTACTGTTCCTGTCCTCACAGCAGCTCTAAGAGGAAGAGGGAATCACCCTTATTTGAAAGATAGTAAACTGAGGCCAAGGAGGGCGAAGTCACTTGTCCAGTCACCCAGTGAACGAAGAGCTGGGATGTGAACCTACGTCAAATAAACCCAGTTATCCCAGCTGGCTAACCCTACCATGGGGCTTTCAGTTTCATGTTTCTAATCCTTAAAATGGAACAGTGACTCACACCTACCACCTATTGGAGGGAAAGGTCAGATTCATTTCTTGCCTCCACTCCTGTATCTAGAAGTGGGCCTGGCATAGAGTGGGTACTCATTGATGTCTGTAGGATGAAGGAATGTGCTATGGGAATAACATGTGGCACTTGGGAGTGCTCAGGAGACAGCTCAGGGAAACGTTGGGTTGACTTGGGGTCTGCTCCTGGAGTGACTGGGGCTTGCTCAAGGTTAAATACATATGTATTTCCCTGGTGGTTCATATGGTAAAGAATCTGCAATGCAGGAGACCGGGGTTTGATCCCTGGGTTGGGAAGATCCCCTGGAGAAGAGAATGGCTACTCACTCCAGTACTCTTGCCTGGAGAATTCCATGGATAGAGGAGCCTGGCAGCTATAGTCCACAGGGTCTTAAAGAGTCAGACACAACTGAGTGACTAACACTGTCACTTTCACACATACTAGTTTCTCTCTTCTGCCTCTTGCTTCACTTGTCAAGGACTTTTCTTGACCGTTTTAAAGACCACCGTAAGCCTTTCATCTCAAAATATGGGGGAGCTGGAAGAGGCAGGATGTGGGCAAAGGCTTGGGGGTGGGTGTATGGGTACTGGTCTGGCTGGGTGGGGCTTGCCCTCATCAACCACCCTCCTTCACTGGCAGGGAGCAGCTCATTGAAGAGTGCATGGCCAAGATGCCACAGATGATTGAGAACTGGCGGCGGCAGCAGCAGGCACGCAGGGAGAAGGAGCAAGCAGACAAGGAGCGGAGGGCCCGGCTGCAGGCGGAGGCCCAGGAGCGCCTGGGATACCACGTGGACCCGAGGAGTGCCCGCTTCCAGGAGCTGCTGCAGGACTTGGAGAAGCAGCATCGCAAGCGCCTCAAGGAGGAGAAACAAAGAAAGAAGAAGGAGGCACGAGCTGCTGCGATGGCCGCTGCTGCGGCCCAGGATCCAGCAGACTCTGAAACACCCAACTCCTGAGCTGGGTTCTTTCCCAATAAAACTTGCCCCACCCCTGAAGAGCTATGTTCTCTTATCACACCCCTCCCTGGGCACACTGGTTCCTTCCCCAACACCTGGAGCCAGGGAATCCCCCACCCTTCCCTGGCTCTGCTCACTCAGGGGACTCAAGACCATGCCGACCAACTCTGGGGCTTCAGGGGGGAATAAAAGGGGGGGCACAATGGGGAAATAATGGAGGAGCAGATGGCAGAGGAGAAGGCGGCTTCTGTTTACCAACATTAATCTCCAGTAATTAGCCAATTACCAGGGGGGAAGTGTAGCCAAAACAGACTGTGGTGATGATGGGGGGGTGGAGAGAGCAGCAGCCCTTCCAAGGCTGGGGCCCACTGCCTGGGAATAACACAGCTTGGTGGTGGGGGGCAGGGTACACTGGGAGCCACAAGCTGCAGAGGCAGACAGACCCCTCTGCCCCTTCATGGCATTCCCCCATCTCCTGTGCCCAACTAGCCCCTAGACCCAGACCAGCTGGAATGGGAAGCCCCAGTAGGGATGAACCACAGGACTGGCTTTTAAAACTTTATTCACTTCAAAACCTTTATCAGAGACAACAGTTCTCTTCTGGGGTGGGGGGCTAGCCTCAAACTCCAGAGCGACTCTGATGTTTCCCCTTCCCCAAGCAGGACAAACCAGACCTTCCCCCCCAGCAAAGGGATGCAGGATGGAAGCCCAGGCCAAACCACGGAGGAGTCCTTGGGCCTCTTGAGCGCTTACCCCAGATGGAAAGATGTGACACTCCAATGGAGGATCAAAAGTTTGGAGCTCCAGCTTCCCCTCACCCTGGAAGAGGGCGGGGGAGGTCTCGGGGGCTCTCTGGGGGAGTGGGGAAGCAAGCAGCCGCCTCTCCATCTGGCTGCAGGGAGCTGGGACACAGGCCAAGAGGGGCCCATCTGTCACCTCCAGTTCTGCCAGCTCCTTGGAGCAGGCTGGGCTGGGGTGGGGGGTGGGGAGGGGGGACAGCTGTCTGGCCCAGGTCTTTTCAGGCCAAGATGGGAATGAGGGGCCACTTTAGGAGAGTGGGAAGTTGAGTCGGAGTTTCTTTTTTTTTAGCTTTTGATTTTTTTTTTCCACTTCTTAAATAAACATGAATATATATATATATTTTTTTCTTTTATAAAACTTTTGTGGAGAGGGTAGGAGGGTGGGGAGGAGGGGGCGGTGGGCAGCCTGGCCTCCCAGCATCACTCGTCATCAAAGTTCTGACTCAGGAGGAAGTTGGCAGCCAAGTTCTCGTTTTTTTCACAAGCGAAGTAGGCCTGGATCACCAGGCTCTCTGGGAAGCCCAGGGCCTTCAACTGTGGGAAGACGGGCAGGTATAAGCAAGAGGTGAGGGCCCTGCCCACCCACGAGGTCACAGCCCTCTTGGCCAGGCCTCTTACCCTCTCTATAGCTTCTTTCTCCTGCGGCGTCACCTGGATGTAGTTCATCTGTGGGGCCTCCTCACCTATGGCGCCCACCTCGCCCTCCACGTCCGAGATGTCCACCAGCTCCCCAGGGGGCTCGTTCAACATCTGGATGAACTGCTCCTGGTGCCGGCTGATTTGCTATAGGAGACAGGAGAAGGGTGACCCATAGCCTTTGTCCCCCCTCCCCCAGGTCCCTCTCTCAGCCCCTTTCGCTCATTCAGCAAACATTTACAGGGTACCTACTCTGGCCAAACAGCCACAGTTGTGTGGGCCTGTCCTAGAGGAGCTAGCAAGCAAATAAGTTGACTATTATTTACAATGTAAATACTGACCCTGCCATACATCAGAGTAGACCTTGGGCTGAGAAAGACACTTTAAGCCAGGAGGGAGGGGCCTGTGATCCACAGAATGGAGAAGAAAGTTTCTTTCCACATAGAGCCAACAGCAAGTGCAAAGACCCAGGGATAGGAGTGTATTTGGAAAACTCCAGAAACAAATAAATCCATGTGGCAAAACTATAAACAAGAAAGGGAAGGAGGAAGCAGAAGATGAGATCAGAGAGGGAGACAAAGTCTAAACTGCTTTCTTCTAGTGCCTTCTAGCGTGACAGGACACGATGGTGGTGAGAATCAACTAGGAAAAGACATCTGTGTACTTTTTAAAAAGATGAATTCATCTGGGTGTTGCACATCTGGGGGGTTTGATATGCCCCTGTTTTTATGTACACTTGACAATTTTCACATCAAAGGAAAAAGCGCTTTTTCAGGAATCTGGATTCTGGTGGAGAATAACCACAGGGAAAGTGCAGAAGCAGAGGCCTGGATAGTGGCCACCTGGGGACCCAGTAGAAGATGAGGTGGCAGCCACAGAGGTGGAGTGCAGGGCTGGGCTGAATGTTCTGGAGGCAGAGCAAACAGGACAGGTTGGGGATAAGCCCAGCAGGCCCCCAGCACCTGGGGCTCAAGCAAGCCCAGGTTGGTCCTGGCAGGGTTAGGGAAGGCTGGGAGAATCTGTTCTGGTCTTGGATATGTAGAAAGCATTTTCATGGAGGCATCAAGTCAGTCATGGAGAACATGGCATCCAGCGGGTCCACGCTGATCATACAAATTTAAGGGGGGGCAGGGGGCCGTTCTCTGGTGGCTCAGATAGTAAAGAACCTGCCTGCAATACAAGAAACCCAGGTTCAATCCCTGGATCGGGAAGATCCCCTGGAGAAGGGCATGGTAACCCACTCCAGTATTCTTGCTGAGAGAATCCCATGGATGGAGGAGCCTGGCGGGCTACAGTCCATAGGACTGCAGAGTCCGACATAACTGAGTGACTCACACACATACACAGGTTAAAGGCTCCAGGATTGACAGCACATAAAGAATGAAGATGGGCAGCCCAGGCCCTCCAGCATCTGGAGGAGGTGAGCAGGAGGCAGCAAAGGAGATTGAAACGTCTGGGGTAGAAGCAGCAGATGCCTGAATCAGGAGAGGCAGGCTTCACAGAGAACCCAGAGGACCCTGTCACACTCAGGGGCCACTGCTCCTCTGCCTCGGAACCTTCAAGGGCAGGATGGAGCTTTGCTGAGCTCGGAGGTGTCAAAACCAACTAGGGCACAGCAGTGCTGCAACCCAATGGGCATTTATGAAGCAACAGCTAAATGTGGAGCCAAGTCAGAGTGCAGGCCCCAGAGGCTGGAGGCAGACACACACTCCACCAGTTGCCAGGCAGCTCCAAACCTCTGGCACCTTCCTCTGTGGGAGTGTGACAACAGCACCTACACCTCACAGGTGGTTGGAAGCATCATGTGAAACCATGGAGGTCGTCGAGTCACAGGGAACAGCAGGAGACTATCGTGTCGGTCGTGCCTATCCACCACGCTGGGCTGGGCTCTCTGGGGGCTGTGGTACCCACAGGGTAAGGGAGATGGGGCCTGCACTGACTCCCTCTGCCCCCAGGCCTGTACCTGTAAGAGCTGGGGGTTCTCCTGGCCCAGCTGCTGGAGCAGGGCTGGCAGCAGTGCAGGGTTCTGCTGAATCACCTGCCGCATGTTCTGGAACTGAGGCTGGTCTCGCAGAAATTCCAAGGGGTTCTCTCCTGCTGGCAGGGGGAAGAGGTGTGGTCAGACACCCCCTGGGCTCCCAGAAGTACAGGGTGGGTGGGATGAGTCAGGTGCCAGGTGCCGCAACAGCAGGCACCCCACGTGCACACCTCCCCATCACTCACCTGCTTCTGTGGATGGCTGCTCTGAAACTTGGCTCTCCTGGACAGAACCATGTTCTGGCTCGGGGCTCCCAGGAATTCCCTGTCAGGTGTCCTGTTTAGTTCCAAGCACAGACTGCCCACTGCCTCCCCTCCTGCACACTCAGCCCTGGTGGGAGACACAAGAGGCCTCCGCTCTGCCCTCCCAGGCCCACCCCACCACTCTCGTCCCGGCTCCTGCAGGAGTTCTTTCCTGGCTAGAACCCTAACCCAAAGGTTTTGGGGGACAGATTTTGACCACCCTTCAGAGCACCAAAGTCCGCATGCTCCCTTGAGAACTCCGCGGGAAGCAGCAGCCCCACCTCACCGTGAGCAGATACTCCACGGCTCGGTGGGGGTTGTTGTAGCTGGCTCTCAGGGCAGCCACGACCCGCTCTCGCTCGTAGCCCATGGACATGATCTCCGTCAGCATTGTCTCATACTCAGAGCCCGTCACTGTGGAGGGAGCAGCAAAGGCCAGGTCACCGAGAAGAAAGGGCAGCTTCCTCGCCCTCCCGTGCCCATAGGAGGCCAGCTGATGCCTGCGGCATCCAGCCATTTTCAATTGGGGGACCACCCACCCACCTAGCGTGGAGGCCGCGTCTTCCTCTCGCCCGCTGCTACCTGAAGAGGGAACAGAGCTGCAAATTCAAGAGAGAGAAATCGGACCCTGGCTTCTGGCGGCCTGCCCTCCCCCCAGGTGTGTGGAACCACGACCGTGGGAGCTGAAAGGGGCAGGGAAGACAGGGCCCAAACTGCGGCTGCGGCTCCCTGCCTTACCCTGACACAGACTCCGGGGACGTCGTGGGGGCAGATTCCTCCGATGGGCTTTTGTCTTCTCTGGCAGTAGGTGGGGGGTGGGACATGCCTGAGGCAGGGGCCGACGGGAAGGATGTGGAAGACTCCGGGGTGACAGTGGGTGAGGCCTCTGAGGGTACTGAGGTGCCTGGGCTGGTTTTGGCCTGTGACACCCAGAAAAAGGGAGCAGGCATCAGTACCCCTATCTAGCCCTGACATCCCTCCACAGCTCCGCCCCGCCCTGTCCATGGCTAATCTCTCTTGGGCACAGGCTGTTTGCCAGCTCCCCAGCCAATCCACCCACCCTCCCAACCAGCAGACATCACCCACCTTGGTCACCATGACGACCACGAAGTTCTTCTCGTCGATTCGATAGTCCCTGATGGGGACATCATCACTCAGAATCTTGCCAGCATAGATAAGTTTCTGTCCAGCCACGGGAAAAGCATCACGACCCTTCTCAGCTTCTATCTTCTCCTTTAGCACCTTCACCTGGAGGAAGGGGTAAATGATCATTGCAAACCCCCCAGATTCTCTCTTCCCTTCTAGTTAGTGGGCAGACTGCAAGCCCTGATGGCCGAATAGCTAAGCTTCATAATCAAGCATACTAAACCATTGTACCATTCAACGAAATATTTACTGAACACTTAATATGTGCCAGGTGCAATTTTAGATACAGATGACAGAGCACAAAGACTCAACATGAGTCCCTGTTCTCATAGAGGACACTCACGTGGGAGAATAAAAAAACTAATACATATTTCAAATGATGTAAACATGATGAAACGCAAATCAATTATAAAGGGGAGACCTAAGGTTGCCGACAGTGGTGTTTACTGAGAGAATCCTGAGTTGATAGTGCTGTTATAAATGTATACGTCACAGGTTCAACCCCTTGTAGTAACTGAGTGGAATAGTTAACCATGAGCCTCATTTTGCATTTTTTAAAAGCTGTTTATTTATTTGGCTGCATAGGATCTTCGTTTCGGCATATGGGATCTCGTTCCCTGACCAAGGATTGAACCCAGGCCCCCTGCATTGAAAGTGCAGCCTCAGCCAGTGCACCAAGAAGCAAGTTCCATATCCTTATTTTGTATTTGAGAAAAATAGAGGCACAGAGATTACCTAACTTGCCCAAACAGCTGGGTTGGTCAAAAAATCTGAGTTTGTTTCCTTTTTACAAAAAATGAATTTCAATATCTCCCTCATGGGGGAAATTGTGCAAAAAGTGCCAAATACACGTTTTTTAGGTCCTAAGTCTCTTTCCGGCCAAAAACACAGCATCATGTTTAGACCGTGGGCTCTCACTTGAGGCAAATCCGAATTGAAATCAGCTCCGTCACGCCTTGCTGTATGCATATGCGACTATAGCAAAGTTCTTCAAGCTCCCAGTTTCCACATCTGTTAAGTGAAGACACTCAAGAGTGCCCAAATGACAAGCCTACTTCGCAGAATTAGTAAAACATCATGAAAACGCTCAGCGACTGGTGAAAAACAAACACGGACGACTGAAACTCAGACCGTTTATTATCATCATCATCATAGTTGCTGTCATCACCCGGCATCTCCTGATCACTACTCCCAGATTTGGCCACCAAGGTCCCGAGGCAAAGCCTACAAGGGTAGGAACTCGGAGGACCCATTCCAGAGAAAGAAGCCCGGCCGGGAATCTGAGCCTGCGGATCCCGCGCCCCGCGAGAGCGCTGACATTGGAGCCAGGACCTGGCGGGCGCCCCGGAGGTGGGGCCTCGCCTGGAGATCGACCCAAGAGCGCTGCCCGAGCCACCAGGGGCAGAGCCGGGGATCATCAGGGTATCTGGGAAAGTCAAGCCCGTGGGGAGAATGGGCAGGGCGCGACCCTGCGCCGTCTTCCCCGCCTCTCTCGTCGGGATCCCGGCCTCCCCGCCCCCACCCCACCCGCTGCACCCGTCGCTCCCGCTCCGGAGCTCCGGCCGGCCTCGCACCGTCTCATCAGGCTCCATGCGGATCTTGAAGGTCTGCTGCTGCAGTGTTTTGAGCGTGATCGTGACGGCCATGGTGGGACCCGAGCGACACGGCGGCCCCGGAATCCTCACACGACATGCAACTCACGCCGCCGCCATCTTAGCGCCCAGCCGCGCCGCACGCCGACAGCTTCCGGGGCAGGCAGTGCGCGCGCCGACCACCACAGCACGTGACCTGAGCGCGCCCCCTTGGCCATCGTGAGCATGCGCACGAGCGCGGCCTCGAGCAAAGCATGCGCAGACGGAATTCTATTCCGTGAGAGGGGAGGGGGGACTTCTTGCTCTACCATCAAGAGGTTTCCTGCGAGTGACGCCATGCCCGTTAGCGGTGACGTCATAGGCCACAAAATGGCTCCGAGACCCCCAGTTTCACGCCCATGAGTTTGTTGATGTTTAACAAAAAATGTACTTGCTAAATTTTCATTTCTTCCACAAAATCTTCATGTCTTTTTGCTCGTTCCAAATGAGACTACTCTGGTCTGGCCACCTGACAGGAAGCCTATCAAGCCCTGAAAGAACTAGCAAGGATACTTGAAAGGTCACCAACAGTTAAACACGGAAATTTGCCACCGAAGTGGGGACACAAGGCCATTCTGTGGCCTCATTAATCCTAAGGGAAGAGCTGGATTTTTGGAATGAATCTTAACAGTTCTAGCTCTTGGGTCTCCCTGTCTGCTGCTCCTCCCCAGATAACTTTGTTCACTTTGATCACTATCTCCATCTGAGTACTTGAGAAAAATGTAACGTTCATGGTTTCCCTACACTGAACACACAATTCTCTCCTTAAACTTTCACCGGATATACCAATTCTGGAGGCCTCCCAGAAGGGTGGGGATAGGCCCCAAGACACTAGAAGGAGTCCTACCCATGGAACAAGGAGTGGAAGGGTTGGTTAGCCAAAGCTGAAGGTGCTTTGGCAGACAGGATGGAGGTGATGTACTTATCTTTCATTTAGTGGGTGGACTTTCCATCTACCCCTATCCTGAACTGACCGTTACCTGCCACCTAACCAGCTCTTCTTACCATTCACATCTGAGAAAACACCAGGCCGGGACCTGCCACCTCATTCCTTACCCAACTATTACCAGGTCCTGCAGCTTCTTCCTTCACAGCATATCCTGTGCTGGTAAGCTTTCACAAGCCTAGCTGACACCGGGGTGAAGGAATTCTTTCTTCCCTCTCTCCTGCAGATAAGGGACATCAGTTCCCAACCACCCACTGCACATTAATGGCAGCCTTGTGAGGCACAACAAAGTGGGCCTATGCCAACCTTACAGGCCCACAGGCTCTTCTGACACTTTCACTCCCTCCCCCGGGGCCACCTCTTTCCCTTCAAGAGGTTCAAACCCTGACTTGGCCACTCAAGGCCATTGGGGTAGATAACATCTCTGAACCTATTTCCTTGACTATAAAAGGAATAGCTTTTAACACTGGCTAGTAATCAGAAAATGTGTTTAAAACTAATAGCTGTTGTAGTCTTGCTCCTTTATCAGCAAGAGATGTGTATGCAGTTCAACATCTTGAGTTCACATGAATTGGTGGCTAAGGTGTGGGTTCAAACCCCACCTCTTCCTAAATGTCTCAAACTCAACTGATACTAGAACCAAAACTCACCAGTTTGATGAAAAGACTCCAGGAGCTAATAAGTGGTGTGTATTTGTAATGGCACTGGAAATGGTTACTCTTTCTCATTCACCTGAGGCTCTGGAGGTAAACAAGGGCTCCTGTAACCTTATGGGGACATTCAGCCAGCAATTCTAGTGGCTAAAAAACAAATCTCACTAAACAATTACCTCTCCCAGGAGACACAGGAGGAAGACACAAAACTTAATTTAATAGAAATTTTGTTTGTAGCTCTTACATTCTCAGCATGAGCTGAGCTAGAACCCACCGCCCCACTCAAAAGTGGCCCAGTCCTGGGGGCAGGGAGAAAGGGGAAAGGATCAGAGCTAAGGCCTTAGGAGCCCCATTCTTCCTCAGTGCTGGGGGGCGGGGGATGCCACCCTCTTCTCCTACCCCACCCTCTGGGATCCAGGAAGGAGAACAGATGGAACTTTGGGCCTGGGCTTCTCCTCCACACCACATCCCACCCTGAGTCCCCAAGCTGGAAGGGAACTTAGGGATGTGGAGTGAAGGAGACAGAAGCAAGCAAAGATGTCAATCAAGATAGATGAAGGCCAGGGGTGAGGGCTACAGGAGAATCAAGAGACAAAATGCCAGTAAAAAAAAAAAAATATGAAAAAAAAATTTTAAAAGGGGGGGAGGGGGGAGCCAAAAACAAAATCCACCCCAAATTGGAACCCGCCTGGAAAAAAATGAAAGTTCTCCAGTCTCATAGAGACATTATTTGGCGCGGCCGGCTCTGCGGCAGGAGCGCTCAGGCCTCAGTCCAGCCCTGGAAGCGGAGGTGGCCCCTACAGCTCATCCTTGGCCTGGCCAGCGGCAGCATCTTCTTCTTCCTCCTCTTCCTTCTCATCTTCATCCTCCTCATCCTCATCCTTGTCCTCCTCATCATCTTTGTCTGCCTCTTCCTCCTCCTTGCCTTTCTTCTCCTCCTCCTCTTCCTTTAGCCTCTGCTCTTCATCCTGCTTGTCCTTCATTTGCTTTTCTGCTGCCTGTGTACAAACCACATACACACCCCTCAGGCCTGGATTCCCCTGCCCGCCCTGCCCACCCCCAAACCCAGGCTGGACCTTGGTCTCACCTTTGTAACACCCCACGTCTCGTTGCCAAACTCCTCAGCATACGCCTCATCGTTGGTGATGAGGAAGTTGTCAAAGATGGTGCCAGACTTGACCTGTATAGGGCCAGAATGCATGGTCAGAAGGGCTACCTGTTGGCCTTGGCCTTGAAAAGGTCTCCTGCCCATGCTCACATAACCACTACACAATACTACAGTCTAACATTACAGTTGAAAAACAGGCTGCCTGGATTCAAACCCCAGCTCTGCCATTTACTATATATGACCTTGAGCTGGTGACTTCACCTCTTTGCACCTCAGTATCTTCATCTATAAAATGGGGTCTCATTCTCTTCTTCAAACTATTTTTCTAGTACATTCTATGTACCAAGCAGCATGCTAGATGCAGAAAGTATGTTGGCAAAAAGGACAAAAATTCAGTCCCTGTGAAGCTAAGTTCTAATGGGGTTATGTACCTGCCTTTCTAGGCTTTGGGGTGCAATTAAGTGAGTGAGTTCCCACAGAGATACTTGGGAAGTAGTACCTGGAACATATTAAGTACAAGCCAAAGCAAGCGCTGTAAGAACCCAGTAATGACAAACCAGTAACTTCTTGGGGGGGGCGGGGCGCACCATTTTGGAGTCTGCCCACCCTTGTCCTCTTTTCTCCTGGGTTGACCCTGAGCACCTGAGGTCCCCAAGGGAGCCACCTCTTCCCTCCACCTCTCACCTGCCAAAGATCCAAGCCTAGAACAGCGAAGTTTTCATAGGCATATATGTTGCTGTCAGGGGAATACTCAGGGTTGTCAATCTCTGGATGGATCCAAATGCCCTTGTAATCTGGGTTGTCGATCTGCCTGGGCTTCCACTCCCCCTGCAGAAGTAAACCGATGGCTGAGCGAAGATCAGTGCCTTCCCCATTGTGCACCACCCTCCTCAGAGTGCCAGGCTCACCTTGTACTCTGGGTTCTGAATAACAGGTGGTTCCCACTCTCCATCCATCTCTTCATCCCAGTCCTCGGGTTTCTTAGCATCAGGGTCAGGAATGTGCTCAGGCTTGTCCCAGTCCTGAGGATACATCAGGAGGTCAGAGTAGGCCCAGCTGTCCTCCACACCCTCCATGGCGGGGAGCCCCTACCCAAGCACCAACCTCAGGCTTGGAGTCTGTGGGGTCATCGATCTTGGCGCGATCGTCCCAGTCTTCAGGCTTATCAGCATCAGGATCCTTTATCTTCTTGGGTGGCAAGAAATCCCAATCATCCTCCAAAGAGCCTGACTCCACCTGGCTGTTGTCAATCTTCACCTCATAGGTATTATCAGGCCGCACAATCAGCGTGTACAGGTGGGTGAATTCATCGTCCTGAAGAGAATGGAAGATGAGTGGCCCCGCCCACCGGCCTGGGATCGAAGCCTCCCCTCACAGCCATTTGTCACCACCCCCAATGCACACCTTGCAGCGGATATCCTTGTTGATCAGCACATTCTTGCCCTTGTAGTTGAAGATGACATGAACCTTCTTGGTACCGGGGCCACAGATGTCCGGACCTTGATGAGAAGCAGATCTGGTCAGAACTACAGTCTGTCCACCATTACAAGCCCCTGCCCACCCCTTTACAAAAAGACAACTTGGTTCTTAAACTCAGGACTGTCAAGCTGAAAAAAACAGAATTCAGAGCTTCTAAGGAACTGGGGGTGGACACTTGGAAAAAAAAAAAACCAAAAACAAATCAGTGCTCCAGAACTCAGTATCTTCACTTGCACAACTGGGAACAAAGAAATGCCTATATAGTAAAACTGCAAGAGTTACTCTTAAACTGATGATAAAAATGCAGTAAGTCGTTCCTAACTATTTCCTCACCTTCCCTGTCAAAGAAGCGTTTAAGTGTTTTCTATGTTCTCAAGACCACCGTTCACGGGCTATAAAGAACTCCCGGAGTTTCAAACTCCCTCTAAGTGACCAAAAATCAGCACTAGGGTGGGGTCCCCTCACCAAACATGATGTTGTATTCGGAGTCTCCGTGCATGTCTGTCTGGTCCAAACCAGCTGGAAACAGCTTCACATAGCCGCCCCCACAGTCGATGTTCTGCTCGTGTTTCACCGTGAACTGCACCACCAGAGTCTGACCCTTGTTGCTGAAGGGCTCGAATCTCGCCGACAGAGCATAGAACCGGGCATCCTGGCTAGTCTGCAGGCCTACCGAGACACTATAGTCAGATCAGGGCTCAGCACCAACCCCCCGGGGAACCCTAAGGATGTAAAATACAGACCAGTCCCCTCTTCCTCCACCTGCCCTACTCCTAGGGATACCCAAACTCTGTCCTCCTGGATCTGAGCACCCACTCCTAAGTTCTTACCTTTATCTTTCTCCTGGTCACCATAGAACTTGCCGGAACTGAGAACGAATTTGCCAAAATCCGGTTTGTGTTTGGATTCGATCCAGCGCTCGGTCCACCCGTCTAGACGACCAAAGAAGCAGGTAAGAGCGG